GGTGAGGCGGAAGCGATCTTACTGAAGGCACAGGCTACGGCGAGGGGTATCGACGCCGTCGCCAAGTCTATCGCGGCTGATAAGGAGAATGCCCATGGAGCTCTTAGCCTGAGTGTGGCGGAGAAGTATGTCGATGCTTTCTCCAACCTGGCGAAGGAGGGCACCTCGGTTGTTGTTCCCGGAAACGTTGGTGATATGAGTTCAATGGTTGCGAGTGCCATGGCTATCTACAAGAATGTCAACCAGGGCCAAGCGCACAACATTGCGGCGAAGACCCTGGGAGTGGAACCCATTCAGGACCAGGCTTCTCACAACACCTCAGACAAAGCATCTGAACTAGACCATGAGGTAAAGGCGGAAATCGAGGAGACCGCCCATGAAAATGTCGCAGAGGAGGTACTCGATGGCTTCAATGAGGCTAGCCAGCAGAAGAGATAATTTGGAATGATGGACTTTTGCTATTTCCCTCCACAGGCCTAACGCCCTTCTCTGACCTCTTTCTTATCCACTGCTACCTCTAGTCCTTTTTTACGATTGTTTTCGGATGTGTACGAAATACCTATCCCTACCACACTGTACCTTTATTATCACCCCTCTTCAGTTATTTGTTTTTCATTGCCCGACATTTCTTTAGGATGTGCTTGAAACAAGCGCCTTGGGAAAAGCTTGTGGTCATTGCCTGTTTAGCGTATCGTCGAGTTATTTGAGGAGAGTGTGATCTCTGTTCAAACGAAGTATCATGTATAGTAGACGAGTGGGTTGAGAAATCGATTCGTGTGTGACTGAAAGTTCAGTAAGGTATTGATCAGGCACCAGTAAAGGAAGTGCCTGAGGATCCCCAGGCGGAGAAAGCAAAGCACGGATCACCCGACCTGCCGCTTTACTCCTTCGGGAGATCGCGACTTTTCTGAAGATCGGCGCGCACTCCATTGTTCGCGTTACTGGACTTTATCTCCTGAACCGGAGAGACAATCTTCTTATACCAAGTCTATCGGGTCCCACCCTTCTAGCTCAGAAAGGACACCTCGGATCCGATGATTGTGGACGCGGTTGCTTTGCGATGCCCCAAATAAGCTATCCTTTATCCACGTCAACTTTCCTATGATCCTGCGCACAAGGGATTCGTACAGGATAAAAAGAAAGCAGCACATTTGTTGCGATGCATATCATAAAACCTGTTTGGCTGACGCACGGAGGTATTCACCAATCTGCCTACATCTTTTTCCCAGCGTTTTATTCACCACCGTGCCCTCTTTCGAGACCGATTGTATACAATTATACATTGTCGAGTTAAAATAGCTAACATGGTTTTCCCGTTGCTTTACAGGTGAGAGGAAGGATTTCGAAGTTTACAGTTGCGATGTGTCGCCCGATGGAAGTCGTTTAGTTACAGCTGCTGGAGGTTGGTCCTCCATGCCCTACGTTACCCCTCCGCCGCAGACCGATCGATAGGACTGGTATTGACTTCTTTCGAATCAAATAGATGGATACGTTCGGATATGGTCGACGGAAGCTATCTGCAATACCGATGACCCTGCGGTTGCTAGTAAACCAAAGCAGCTGGCGTCGATGAGCAACCACTCCGGTACGATTCATACGGTTCGGTTTTCGCCAAACGGGAAGTACCTCGCATCAGGGGCGGACGATAAGATTGTTTGTATTTACACGTTGGATGCGAATCCTCCGTCGCATGCTACAACATTTGGTGGGTGCTAATTTCGAGTCTCGAGGCTCGTTGGGGTTAGAAGCGGCGGCTGATACGTTGCACATAGGGTCGAACGAGGCACCTCCTGTGGAAAACTGGCGCACGGTCCGGAGACTGATAGGCCACGATAATGACGTTCAAGACTTGGGCTGGTCCTACGACTCTTCTATCCTGGTGTCTGTTGGATTGGATTCTAAGGTGGTAGTGTGGTCAGGGCATACGTTTGAAAAGCTGAAGACGATTTCCATACACCAGAGTCATGTCAAAGGGATAACTTTCGATCCAGCTAACAAGTATTTTGCTACGGCAAGCGATGATCGCACCGTCCGAATCTTTCGTTTCACCTCCCCTGCTCCGAACTCGACCGCACATGACCAGATGAACAATTTCGTCCTTGAACAGACCATCTCCGCGCCCTTCGCCAACTCCCCTCTAACTGCTTATTTCCGTAGATGTTCATGGTCGCCGGATGGTATGCATATCGCCGCTGCAAATGCCGTCAACGGACCCGTCAGTTCCGTCGCGATAATCAACCGTGGATCCTGGGATGGGGACATAAATCTGATCGGACACGAAGCTCCTGTGGAAGTGTGTGCGTTTTCCCCGCGACTGTATGCCAGCCAACCGGTCGACAAACAAGCGATGGATAGTCAACATGGTGCACAAAACTTAGTGACCGTCATTGCTTGTGCTGGAGGAGACAAATCTCTTAGCATCTGGATCACCAGTAATCCTAGGCCGATTGTGGTTGCTCAGGAGCTTGCCGCCAAATCTCTGTCTGATCTGGCTTGGAGTCCCGACGGAAAATGTCTTTATGCAACAGCACTGGATGGCACGATACTTGCAGTCCGGTTCGAGGACGGTGATTTGGGATATGCAACGGCTATGGAGGAGAACGAGAAGTCGCTTACCAAATTCGGTACTAACAGAAGAGGCGCCGGTATCACAGAGACTCCGGATGGTTTGCTACTTGAGGAGAAGAGCAAGGCTGGCGAGATCAAGGATGTCGAAGGGCGAATGGGTGCCCTGATGGGCGATGACCAGGCCGATAATCTAACCAACGGAAAGCCCGCGCCTCTACCTTCTAATGCCCCAACCCCTGCACGGCCATCATCTCCTGCCCCAGATGTGCCGAAGAGCCAGCCAAACGGGACCGCAACGCCATCGGCCCCAGAACCGGAGAAGCCGGATCCGTATCAAGCAAAACTTGAGAGACTGAAGCAGCGCCCTACTTACACTAAGGACGGCAAGAAGCGCATTGCCCCGCTTTTGGTATCTGGCGCAGGTGCAGCTGAGTCCTCCCTGCCCCAGGCTCGTTTGATGGCCTCGGTTAGCAACCAAGTGAAGGCGGATACACCTCAGTCTATTGTCGATCTCTCTAAGCCCTTCGACGGCTTACCCAAGGGGGGCCTCGCCACGCTGCTCTTTGGTAATAAGCGCAAGCTCGCGCAGCTGGAGGAAGACGATGATGGACATGTAGAAAAGCGCGTCGCATTGGCAAGTCAGAATGGTGCTACCCCTCTTCTTACAAACACTCCAGAGGGCCTTCTCCCTGCACGACCGCAACCCGGCCCCGCCGGTCAACAACCGACACCAGAGTTTATTCGACCTGCGGTGACGAATCCTTGTATGGCCATGAGCCAGGTACGACTAGCCGTGCCAAAAGTCCGAAACCAGATACTTCGAGCCATCGATCCTAATGGGAAACCGACTGAACCACCAAGTGCGTCGGGAGAGTCCAGCAAATCCCGCGTTGACGTTGTCTTTGAAGCTCGCAACCCGTCGGCCGCTAGCCTGACTGGCCGCGCAGCAGATCGGGAGCCCGTGCGGCTCACACTCTTCCGAGGGGAGCAGCCCCTGTGGCAAGATTTCCTTCCACGGACGGTCCTTCTCGTGACTGGCAACCAGAGCATGTGGGCTGCGGCCTGTGAAGACGGGTCAGTCTACATCTGGACTCCAGCCGGTCGTCGTCTTGTCAGTGCGCTCGTGCTTGAGGCACAGCCGGTAATCTTGGAATGCAATGGGCCATGGATCCTTTGCATATCAGCCGTTGGGATGTGCTATGTCTGGAATGTCAAACACCTGTCTTCTCCTCATCCGCCTATTTCCCTTCAACCGGCGCTGGATGCGGCAATCCACACGCTGGGCGCACACCCCTCAGCTGCGCCGGCAATCACTAATGCACGGATCAATTCCGAAGGCCGAATCGTGGTCGCCATGTCGAATGGGGAGGGTTACTCATATTCGCCTTCCATGTTTACATGGCAGCGGATCTCAGAGCCCTGGTGGGCTGTCGGCAGTCAGTACTGGAATACCACCGAGGCGCCGGTGGGCAATCTCCAGACTGCTGAAGCGCAAAAAGATAAGGACGCTAAGGCTGCTGTGTCCGCCGGAATTATTCCCTTCTTGGAACGCAACACGACCAGCGAGACGCTACTCCGCGGACGCGCATACTTCCTCCAACGGTTGATCAAGGTTCTTCTCTCCCGCGAAGGCTACGAGAGTTTCGAATCGAGCGTATCTATCGCCCACCTGGAAAACAGACTTGCGGCAGCATTGTCCCTCGGAGCCAAGGAGGAGTTCCGGCTATACCTCTCGATGTACGCGAAGCGGATTGGAGCAGAGGGTCTCAAGATGAAGGTGGAGGAATTGCTAAAGGGCTTAATTGGCGGGTTGTTTGAAGAAGATGAGGCCGGAACTGCCCGGCGCCTGCAGGAGAACGAGCAAGAAGACCGAAACTGGCGAGAAAGTTCGGAGACCCTCTGTGGCTGGCCGCGAGAGGTGTTATTGAAGGAGGTCATTTTGGCACTGGGTAAGCTTCTAACCTCCCTGGGGACGTATTAATGGGCCTCATACTGATGCGAATATTGTCTAGGTAAACACCGAGATCTTCAGCGGGTAACGGTACCATATGCCAAGCTACTGGGAGTTGTAGTTGGTGAGTCGGATGCGGGCGATGCCATGGAAACATGAGCATCCAGACATGAAGCCTTGTCTCTGGTGTTTTCGGCGTTTCTTCATGAGGGTTATACTATGGGACTGGGTGGCTTACTTCTCCGTGGAGAAGCTTGACTTTTCGATTTCTCTAATAAAATGGAATGACGATTCCTGCGTCTTTAACATGTGCTATAGTATATTATACAGGGGCCGTGAATGCTTTATCATACTTTAAATTACTTAAAATATGGATAGAGCGAGCCTCTACATTGAAGTTTTTTCTTGAACAACGCAGTCACCTTGCATAACTATATACCCCCCCAAAAAACAACAACAGTAGTATTAAACACTACCTAGGTTAATCACCTTGGGACGGAAGGGATCTAGATAAAAGTCCCATCATGCTGCTCCCATGCTGCAAGACATCAAGCATGAAGTCGTCACTGTGGAAACCCAGTGCCAGAGCATTGTGGACTAGGTCATCGAGACCAGAGTGCTTTCCGCAGTAGACGCAGACACGACGCTCCTGGGCCATGATATTGCCGCGGAGGGTGATGGCATCAGCTGTGTTTTCTTAGTTATTTTCTCTACCTTGTATGTGCTCAGGCCGGAGTCCAAGAACTGGGTTTGGGGGGAAATGAAGAAAAGGCAAGGAGGGAAACGTACTCCAAGTCTTCAACAAAGACACAATATGGACACGCTCAGCATCGGAGAGAATCCAGCGATATCCGGTTACGGTATCTAGATGGATGATAACTTTCCATATTTTTGCTTTGGTCTTGGTTGATCGAAGAATGATTACTTGGATCTTAGAAGGGAAAACAGGAAGAGGATTATTGTCCTTGTTCTTGTCTTGAGGGATAGATATAGACAGGGCTTCGGGATGCTTTTTTATACCTTGATTTTCACCACCTTGGGTACAGCTCATCTCATAGCTGAGCTCACTTTTTTTTTTATTTTTTATTTTTTTTTTCGGTAGCCCTCTTTGTTACTATCTAGGTATATCCCTCTTTACTAACGTAGGTCATTTATGAGTATTATCCCAAAGCATGGAACGACAGTAGACGCGACACGTTCATGATTAACAACCCACAATCCAGAACAAGAGAACGAATATAACAAGAACCAAGCATAATCCCCATACACCTCAACTATCATCCAATCCAATACTCATCCACCCACAAACCTCTAGCTGAAAAGCCAATCCCCTCCTCGCCCTCCTACGCAACGCAACGCAATGTCTGCATTTAACATGCATACTGCATAACCAGGGCCAAGAAGTAAAACCCAGGATATCCACCTACCTACATACATAGTACACTGTACACATAACAAATCGTTACATCCCTGTCCCTATCAACAACAAATATGAAAACTACCTTTGTAATAGCCCACATCAGTAAGAGGTACTATGTGAATGGATCCATGATGATGTAGTGAGCGTATAAATGATATGATTGGCTTGTCTGCTGCAGGGTGTTTTTGTAGCCCTATTGCTGATGTCCTGATTGGTTCGTTGGGTGGGTCGAGCTGAAAGCTGAAAGCTGCATGTGCAGGTATTATGGTGGTAGTATTTATGTATGCTTTTAGGTGGTGGGATTGTGGGATTGAATCCGGAGATGTTACTGCTGGGTAGGTTGGGATATACATTTTTTAGTAAGGGTTGCTATGAGTTGTGAATGGCAAAGTACAATACAGTATTTGTTCTTGGTTGTGAGTGTCTTTTCTTTTCTTTGCTTTCGTTCTTCTTTGTTAATATAAAGTAACAATTGGGAAGATTAGGAATTTGGGATTTAGTGCTGGTATGATAGCTTATCAGTTGTAGCTATCTACTGTGAGTTGGTGATATATAGATTCATAATTACTACTCAGGAGACTTCTCTACCGTGGATAACTCCCTTCTGAATGTCAAGAAGATATTGAAACTTGCTATAGTCTCTGTATGCGTGCTCGAGTCTGTTCCATACCTTGGTATAACAGGTACGCTCTGATGTGTCTTTAAGAAGGAAACGAGAGAAGATCTCAGATGTGTAGTCCCGACCTACAGAGCCCATATACCTACAATTCCAGGGCTTTTCTAAAACACTCTTTCACTGAACAAAAATTAAAGCAAGAACAAGAACAAGAACATGAATTTTGCTGCTTCAATTACTATCTTACCCACAAAACTTGCAATAAAACCACTATCAACCCCCCCGATTCCACGACCACCAGCCCCTCCACTTCTCATACATTTCTAGTCCAACAAAATACATTCGGACCAACCTATGCTGTCTGACCAAAAAGATGTCCCGGAACCTGCTTGGCAGCATTTTCCATGCCATGGGGGAGAAAGAACCAGTTCCCCTGGTGGGGCTGAGTTTGAGTCTGACCCTGAGGCGGAGTTTGAGTTTGGCCGGGGGACACAGCTCCAGCGAAGGGATGGACCAGCCCGTGAGTAAAGCCGGTGACTTGCTGGCCGCCGGGTAAATGGCCTACGGTGTTGTGGGCGACATCATGGACTGTGCCCAGGGCGTGTTGTGGAATGGCAGCGGCCGAGGAGACGGCTTGTTGGAGGAGGTTTGGGTGGGTGTTTCCGTCTCCATTTGCGACACCGTTGCCGTTCTGGAAGGGGCTGATGGGGAGCGGTAGGTGGCCTGGGGTGGAGGCGCCGTTGCTGGGACCATTGGATGGGGCGAGTTTGGCCAGTGGGGCTATGGCACCGTTGGCCACCTTTGAAACGGTTTCTTGCAACTTGTCCTGGTGTTGTTTCTTTAGAGCGTTGGACAGGGCGTTGAGGTCTCGGCCTGCGGTGACTGGGATCTTTGGAGGATGGTGGATGCCCTGGCCGTGGCCTTCGAAGTGGATTTTCCAGGCTGAGGGCTAGTTAGTATACGTTATAAGTAATAAAGCCAGGGGGCTTACTGGTTGGGTCAACGGTAAGGGTAGACCAGCTGTCGTTGAGGGAGTGCTTCTCAGTGCCAGTGGTGATACTCTTCAGGACTCCCATTTGACCGGGTGCTGCTCGGAGATTCTTCAGGCCACCACAGACACGGACAAGGGAGGTGATGCAGGACAATGCAATTTCTCGTCCGAGACACTCGTGTGGTCCAACATTGAAGTGGATATACGCGTTTGATGGCCGGTCGAGTTTGAAAACTTCTGGGTCCGGGACAGCATCGGGGTCCTTGCATGCCGCACCCTGGTGTATGGAATTAGCTCTCGTCTCATGGAGCTTCCAGAATATAACATACCAACAGACATATCACCAAGTTACCGGGTTCGAAGCTTTGTCCATCAATCACGGCCTTACCTGCGCAGAGACGGAGGCTTCGTTGGGTGCTGGTCAAGCGTTGGGCTTCAAGGACGTATTGCCGGAGAGACTTGTTTGAAGATTCTAAATCCGAGCTAGCAGCAAGCTTCTGAATCTCTTCCCAGTGCTGGGAGTTCTCATCCTGGAGGAAATAGTTGAGGACATCGGTAAACTAGATCTCATGTCAGCTGTGTCTCGAGTAGATGCGACTTTCCATAGACCGGGAGTACGAACCACTCCGATAGTCGCACCAACACCACCAACAGCGTTCATCCAGCTGATGTCTGCAACCTCTGCGGGAGTCTTTCCTGAAGCGATCAGTTCCTTAGCCACATTGTATCCGTACCAACGCAACGAGCCACTTGTCGACTGCTCCTCAACGCCTTTGCCGTCTCCAACAAGCTTGCCAACAAGTGGGATCTTCGAGGCGATGTCCTTGGCTGTAGAAACAGCTCCCTTAACAATTCCCTTTGCGGATTTCTCCGAAGCGGGCAAGTTGGACACGACCTTCAAAGTGGTCTTGGTAAGAGATTCTGCACCCTCACGGGCCCATTTCCTGCGTTGCAAAGCCAACCCAGGATCGTCATTGTTGAAACCGAAGATACGCACGTCAATGATATACTTGTATAGCTCTGCGATGTTGTAAGTTCCGTTCGGGTTCTCAGGGGTCTTGAGGTCCAGACAGAAAAGATCGGCCAAAATCCTAGTCACCATGGGAATGGCGACGCTAAAGAGATGTTAGTGTATATTCAGATTCACTTTCTCTTCGAACAGGATAATTGTGATCCCTAAAACAAAATAACTTACTCCCGAACAATGTCAACCTGGTGCAGCTCCGAGGTCAAGTTCAATGTCTCAGTGGCAAGTTGCTCTTTGGCCACGGACACCGCTGTCTCTGACAACAATTGCACAAACTCGGCAGGACTGTAGAGGATTTCCTTGACGAGGGACTTCTGCGCAGTGTTGGCCGGTTTGTCGCCTAGCAGCATGTAGCCACTGAAGTCTCTACCCGGGATCATCTCATTCAGATACTTAGCCCAGATAACACGGAAGTTGGCTTGGTCCTTCGAGAGCTTGGTGATCGTGGAATGCTTGGTCACGATAACGGTCTTTGGAGGTGGCGAAGGGTCATCAAGGGTGTACTCGTCGATAGTACCGATTTCCCGGGCGATCTGCTCGTTCATCTTCCTCGTGTACATAGGCTGGGTGATGTGCAATGAGTTATACGGGAACCAGTTGGGAAGAGCGCGCTGGAACAGTTTGTGGAACATCGAGCCGCCCAGACTAGACAAACCCTTGTTAGCTATTATCAATAAAGGATGGAGATAATTGTTCTTACATGTCATAGTCCTGTTGAACTTCGTTATAGCCCCAGCAGGTGAGGTTCGAAGCTGTGTAATCAATGGTAAGGAACCGATCCGATCGAACAAGCGTAACGGCGTCACTGAACACTGCTCTTCCAACGGTGTAAGGGGTGCATCCACCATGACCTACCCTACTCGTAAGCAAAAGATTCTCAGAGTGTAGGAGAGGAAGGTATACCAGGATCCATGCGTGGCTTGATATCCTCGAGGAACAGCCCAGGGTACATTTCAACCATGTCAGGATCATCATAAAGCTTGCGCAGAAGATCAGCAATCTCATGGTCCGAGTTAACATCCTCGAACGTCTCGTGGCGCTTGAGCTTGAAGAAGTCACGCGTCTCATTCAAAGAGGCTAACTGCCACTTTCTTGCCTGAATGATACCCAGAATCTCAATGACACGGAGCGCCTTGGGAACCATCCTGGCACCGAAGCAGCCTGCAGGATCTTCCATGCTGTCCTTCATCAGTTGTACCAAGTCGGCGTCACTAAACTTGCCATCTTCACCACGCTTGAGTCCGCCGAACTCGCGCGCACTAGGGTCCTCGGGAATGCTCTGTTCAAAGCGATAAAGACCTTGGATGAATTCCTGTGGAGTGAGTTGGTCAACTTTCTTGTCATGGCCGAAAATATCTGCGAAGAACTCGTTCATCCATTTCTCATCGCGGCGGGAAATAATACTGTGGAAACGGTACAAGAGATTGAATTCCACGGACACCTGATTACCAATTCCTCGTGGAACACCCTCAGAATCAAAGATTTTGTTGATCTTGACTCGAGGGTCGAGGGTCCAGTCACTCGATGAATGATGTACGTTAGCCAGGCCACGAATATAGTCGTGCAACGAGATGTTAACGTAGAGACCATTGGTAACCCTAGAAAATTTGGTTTATTAGCAAAATATTGAGTCAATAATCAGTTTTTGGTCCTCACAGTCGAGCAGTCTGGAACAGATCTTCATCCTGTTTGGCTAGTGCAGCCTTCTTGTCCTCCTCTGATTTGGTCGGGGGCAGCGAAAACCGTCCTCCCTCGTTGATCTTGAGGAGGTTGTCGGCCACGTAGTTATGGAAACGGTTATACATAACGAGAATAGCGTTAACGCCGGGGGGCATCCCAATGAGCCTCTTCTCGCTGAAAGTGTCTGGCTTGAGTAAACCGCGGACCTTGGTTCGAACCTTCATCTGATCCTCCAGGCTGGATCCATACAGCGGGGCTAGGTCAAGGTAAGAAGAGGTGTCGCTGATGTTAGGGTCAAATCGGTTGCTCCGGAAGATGTCTAATTCATGTGAGCAGACTGTTCCAAGTTTTTATGAGGGTATGGCGTACCATGGATGATAATCGTTGCATGATAGAAAAGCACAGACGAGAGACCAGCTGGGTTTTCTTTAAAAGTTTCATCGCTTCGAGCCATGAGCACTAGAAAGGTTAGTAGTTTCTTCAGTAGGGTCACTACGGTTTAACACCTACAGTCGAAAAGAAGGCCGGGATCGGGAGGAACACCGTGCATGTGCTTCAACTTGGGAACGTTTCTCGCGTAAGGGCTGCCCGCCTTGCCCAGGTTTGGTTGAAGGGGGTTCTAGTATATATGTTAGTGAACGTCAACAACACTAATATTGCACAGTGTAACTCACGTTATAGCTTCCATCAGGTGTCCGATATTGATATTTGTTACCGAGATAAGTCATGGGCGGATGTGGTAGACTTTGCCAGAGCGTATCAATAAGAACACCGGTCAACTTCTCCCTCGCTTTGGAGTTTCGAGGCAAGGACGAGACAATGGCGATGAGTTTCTCCATCTAAGGTCATGTTAGTGAGTGCTATATTCTTTGATTCTCGTGCGACTTACAGTCAACTCCCGGTCATCGATGGGTTTGCCCTTGTTCTTGACAACATTCAAAAGCACTTTGAGATCTTGGACACCAGCCTTGAGCCCGACAGCTTTGAGATCATCGCGCAAGGTAGGAGCCAGAACCTCCGGGTCTCCATATGGTTCACCTGCTTGATACTTCATATCATCCTCTTCCTCAGCGATCTTTCGCTTGTTGAAGATTTTCCAATTGAAGGGATTGAGCTTTGACAGTATACCACCACCACCACTTCCAGCAATACTTCCGAGCGCACCTTTTGTCGCCTTTGGAATCAGTGACTTTGAAAGTCTACCCAAAGGCAGGTGTCCTTTCAGGAAAGAGAGCTTGTTGAGGCCTGGGATCTTGCCAAGGTAATGGGATGCCTTCTCTTTGATCAAGGTTTGCAAGCCTTTCTCATCGTGTTTAACGGACTTGAGGTAGAGAGCATAGAGGAAGAAGCTAAGTATGGTGGCGAGAACGCCGTTGAAACCGAATTTGTTCAGGATGCCTTGAAACCATTTTTGGTCTTTAGTACCGAAAGCCAGCGATGCTAAAGAACCACCGCTGTCTGAAGACCCAGGCAAAATATTTTTAACTTTTCCAGTATCAGAAGTGGTTTCCAGTTGTGTATGTGGTGTTGGCCAGACGTACCTAGAGATGAGCCCGAGGAACCCGTACTGAAGGGATTCCAGGACGACTTAGTCGTAGTGCTCAACCAGCCCATGATGGTACTGCTACCTTTAGGGCAATGTCACTAAGGCTAAGCTACACAGTGTATCAACCAAGAAGCGTAAAAGAGTTCGTGGAATGATAAGCGGTCTTGAGTCTCTGAGAACAGTGGGAGAAGGCCGTCAAGTCTCCCACGTTATATACCGTTCTCCCTCCTTGGAAGATCCACTTTCTGTTCGGATACTCTCGATTATAGTCTAACCCAGTCATAAACTCGGGTTACCAGATATGACAATCGTGTATAGGTCGGTACGAGAAAGCCGGATCATTTTGCCACAGTGCCACTTGCACCCTTGCTCTGAGGCAGACTGCCAAGTCAGTTCTCCCCTTGCTCATCAGCTCACGGACGTACTTTGGTGCCAGTGGGTACTTAATGTGGGGGAGCTGAGGACCCCCGTCATAAGATGTCACAGTAGCTATTTCCTTTTTGGGGGGTTGTTAATTGCTTCTTTCTACCAAGAGCTTGCATCTGATACCCTGGTAAGTCTGCTGCACGAGTGCCCGCGGAGTTATTTCTTGAAGCTAACCACGTATCCACTCACATATTTCACAAACCACATCGACTATCCAGCCAGCCACAAGTAACTTCCAAATCCAATAACTTGGTTTGCATTGGCGGGCTTACCAACAACCCCTCTTGAACAGGAAAGCCCAAGCTGAGCATCGGGACTAGGGCTACATCATATCTAACCAATGCGGTCCTTCGCATGGATGTGCATCACGTTGCACTGCATGAAAATCTCTGCAACAGCGATGCTTTCAAGCAATGAATCTATCTCTAGAATCAGCGTTTAGTTTGCAGCCATTAAGACCAGGAAGATGTGAATCCAAATGCATGGCAGCCGATCAGCGCGGCGAAGTCCGTTGCTTAGGGTGATAATATTCTCCATGATACAAAGCAAAAGAAATAAGGAGAAAAAGAAATATGAAGCTGAATATCATGTGTTTCTCTCATCGAATCGTATCCCAATTGGAGCATCACCTCGACCCTGGAAGATAATTCATAAGCTGGGACTGCTGGATTTCCGGTCACCCAACACTGCCTCTCCGTCTTCATACTGCCTTCTTGCCCTTGGTACTCTGTATTCTTGAGCTCGTACCTCACAATGCCACACGCGACAAGCGAAACCGATGCCCCTGGGGACAACGCACGTCGAATTGTCTTGTGTTTCGATGGCACAGGCAATCAGTTCCAAGGAAATGAATCAGACACAAATATCATGAAGATTTATCAAATGCTGGATCGACACGCTCCAAATCAATTTCACTATTATCAACGTATGTTGCAGAGTCATGCTTAGTCATTGCCAGATAACGGCATACTAACCCTATTGCCAGCGGGTATCGGGACCTACGTCAAAGGCCAGTCCTCCAGCTCTGGACTGGTTCGATTCTGGCCCAAAATCAAATCCAAGATTATCAGTGCTGTTGATCAAGCAGTTGGCTCATCGTTTAGCGATCATGTCCTTGCCGGCTATCGTTTTCTCATGCGTTACTATTCTGAAGGTGACCATATCTACATCTTTGGATTCTCTCGTGGTGCCTACACTGCACGATTCCTCGCGGAGATGGTCCATGAATTGGGCCTTCTGTCCAGGGGAAATGAGGAAATGGTTCACTTTGCCTGGGAGACGTTCAGTAACTATGAACAATCCCGCGGCAATGTTCCTCAGACCGAAAAGGATCGGGAACTGAACGAGTTCATGAAGAAATTCAAGACAACCTTTTGCCGACTGGGCGTGGGTGTACACTTCCTTGGCTTGTTCGACTGTGTCAATAGTGTGGGTCAGTTTGAGATCCCCTTTTTCCGCACCTCATATCGATACATCGCGACTCCCGCCGCAAAATACATTCGACACGCGGTGTCTATTCATGAGAGACGGTTGAAGTTCAAGCCCGCTCTCTACATGATGGATAAGAATGGGCCCGATTCCAACTTCAAGGAAGTATGGTTTGCGGGAAACCACTGCGACGTGGGCGGTGGCTACAATCTTCAGAAAGGCCAGAAACATTTGCTTTCCGATACGCCATTGAATTGGATGGTCCAGGAAGTTTTGCACCTGGAGGGCTCGGAAAGTAAGCTGGAATTTCAAACGACTAATGTCGAAGATGTCCTGAGAGCTGAAAGTGTCTTTCCTGGGAAGGAGGAGCCAGGGACTAATGCATGGGAAGTGAGGCGTCGCACCAATCAGCCACATGATTGCCTCTGGCTCGGACATGCATCGGCTTTCTTGATGGTTATCTTCTGGTGGATCCTAGGTATGCATCCATCTTTTTTTTTTTTTTTTTTTTTTTTGCGTTGTGACTATACTGAATGAAGATCTGGCAGAGATCCTACCTATCTTCACGCGGTTAGAGCTGGAGAAAGGAGAGTGGGTTCCTAGGAGGTTCCCTCCCAATTTGGGAGCCCCGCGGGATATTCCAGTAGAGGCCAAGATCCATTCGAGTGTGAACGAGATGGTCAAAGCGGGGATTCTAGACAAAGAGTCCATTCCCAAGAAGGGTGGCGACAACCCCAATCTGCCCAACCCCGCAAGTGTCGTGTCGACTTTGAAGAGGGCCAGGAAAAGTCTGGCGCGCCCAAAAGCATCTCCCGAGGATCCCGTGGCTGAGAGCCCTGGCAACGATGAGCGCAGGATGCACGAGAATGGATCGGCGAAGGGGATCAATGGAGTGCATAAGCGAAAGGGGGTCAATGGTGTGAACAGTGTGAACGGTGTGAATGGGAGAGGGATGAATGGGACTGTGGAGAGCTGAGATCGATTGTGTGGAGTTTACCTGCATGTATGCTCCTTCGTCGGAGTAGTTGGGTTGGTTAGCCGGTCAGTGTTTGTTTGTTTTACATACATGTAGCAGCAATTAACTGACTAACTAATCCCGGTCGCTGATTAATCCCTTCAATGTTCTTACCAGGAAAGGAGGTCCAAGGGAGAATCTGATAGAATTGTCTTGGATGTACATAAATAGTGAAGCTTTTCTAGTATCGGAAGTTCTACCTACCATACCTGAGTTACTAGGTCATCCGTACAGTTATGGCCGCAAGACAGCAAGTGATCGGCGGTATTATTATCTATCTCTCTTGTTCACCAGGGAAACTTGAGGGAGCTCGCCGCCTTCTCTTTCATATGCAACTTGGTCTCTTCGTCTTTGACCTGCTCAAAGGCCTCTAGATAGCATGCACTGTGAGGTATAGTTGATTTAAGAGTGACAAGGATGGATCGGATAACCAATACCCACTGTAGATACTAGTTTCCGAAACATATGGGAACTAACGATGCATAGTACTTTCAGCAACCTCCTAAACGAGAAATGAATCGCACCGAAGGCTGGCTGAAAGTGGCGCTTAAGATATGGCGAGCATCCGACCGAGCAGTTTAGGGCAGTTCGTCGATTATTATACTTTCGGAACCCTATTTAAATCTAACAGATCTCGAACGTGTATTTCAGTTCAGGCCATTGCTTGCTACTGGAAGACTTTATCCCCCCGATGTTCATGCCTTTGCTCCGTATGAAATCTGCCTTAAGTCCCCCCACCATCGGAGTTAAGATCTACTCCATACATTAGTTGATATCTAGGCTGACTCACATGTAAATTATTGGCTTGGGATCCTTGGATCGAGGTGGACCTACAAGGCTGTCTCGGCATGAACAAAGGCAAACATGTCCACTGAGGGTTATGCATGGGATGTTCGCGACGGGCCTTGAAATACGCATTTATGCTTGGCGCGACGCACGACAGCGCATATTGCCCAAGTATCACGCCTCTAGATAACTAATACGAATCAACGTGGGCCAGGTGGCTAACCAGCTTGACGATCAAGGGTCGTCGGTTCTCTTTCCCCTGTTAGATTGGCATTATGCCCAATTGAGCTGACTTCCGAGTCTGCGTGCTCGATGTCCGGATGTAATTCTTGCTTGCTAAATGTTTGTCTTTGATTGGCTTCGTTCAAGCCCATGGCATATTCTCGGAAGCGCCGATCCCTGTAAGTAGGTACATATGCCATACATAGTCACTGTAGTATCCAACCCTACCCTAGTAACCCTGCCTTCTCAGCCCCTCTTAGAGATCGCTTGCGGGTCCGGCCCTGCTCAGTCCTCCCCAATGTAAGCTACCGATCGTCTGCCAATGCATTCCGCGTAACAATGGATATCAATATTGTAAGCAATACTAATGAGACTATAATGGTTGGCTAGTTTTGCTTGCACTCACCCTGCAAGTGCGCCATACCCACCAGCATACGAGTTACTAAGAGGTACGCTATGGTCCCCGATCTGTGGGAGAAAGCTACTGCAGTTCCCCTCCTTCCACTCATCGAATCAACCGCATTGCCTCGAATTTCTGTTGGTATTAGTTACGGTCCCATGTGGGGGACATTTTGCTATGCATCGCTCCCCAATCGCTCCCAATGTTTGTGATTCCGTTCGACCCCATACGCTCTCCTCTGACTCTTTTGGTCCAGATGCATGGCTGGACCTATAACTAGCCTCGCAGACACGGCTGACGGTAGTTAGAGACCATATTCGCAATGTTGACTCTCGGGTCGGGCTTTTGATGTCAATGCCCCCTAGGCATAACGTCATTGTCATCTCACCTAGATCAAAGAGGAGGGGATTAAGACATATCCATCTGTAGCCTGAATTCCAAGCTATGCAAAGGCAGATACTCCCTGGCATGTATTCAATAGTTACAGTATATAAAGATGCATGCTATATAGTGCAGATTACTCTTATCATACGCCTGTGGCCACCTGGATTGAGCGCTCCAGCCGTCATAGTACGGAAGCATCACACATCGGCAAGCATTGTCTTAAACCCTTGATGATTTTGTCAAAATCACGTCCTGGTAGTCCCAAATTCACTAAGCCATAAAGTAGAAATATACTGCTGAACGAAATGAAATACCTGTTTTTATCTGATAATCAGGCATCAAATTGATGCATTAACAGACAACTGGTACCCGCTGGCACGTGATGTCAATCCTGAATAGGAAAGGTGCCTGAAACAACCGGAGCAACATTAATCCAACCGAACTGTGAGTCAAAGCAAGGCTACCAAGTAATCCCCAGGCATCCAGGCATTCTCAGTGGAGGCAATACTTTGTTCCGGGTTAAAATAAGTGGAGCCGGGCAGCGAACAAGCGCACAAGCGCACAAACCCGTGACCACACTGAAAAATTCGAGCCCACAATCCATCGGCATCATCAGCGACAACACCATCGACAGAACCTAACGAAACCCTTTCCCCGTTCATCCGCCAAATACAGTCAACATGGGTAAGGTATGTGAATAAGTCGTCCAGGCCTTCTTTCTCGCGAGGGGAAATGCTGATTACTGACTTTACACCGTTATAGGTCCACGGATCGTAAGTAACCCTTCGCCTCACGACCCCTCCATCGAAGATATCCCCAAAATTCAGATTCTGACCCTTTTTTTCCAGCCTCGCTCGTGCCGGTAAGGTCAAGGCCGCCACTCCCAAGGTCGACAAGCAGGAGAAGCCCAAGACCCCTAAGGGCCGCGCCCGCAAGAGGATCATCTACACCCGTCGTTTCGTCAACGTCACCATGACCGGTGGCAAGCGCAAGGTATGAGAAGGCGATGGATATAACATCGTTGGCATGGCTATTTCAGATGGAGGCTGATGGTTACAATAGATGAACGCCAACCCCAGCTCGTAAAGAACACACTCTGCAAGGGTTTGATCGTCCGGCGATCGGGAGTCCCCTAGGTCGCCGTGGCGAAGGGAGGCTGAGAATGTGATGCATATTTGCGTTGGAGCCATACGTGGCATTTGAAACGGTCTCTTTTTTGCTTCTGATCTTGCGAAACGGGTTCAAAGAGTCGGTTTAGGATGAATAATGTTCAGTTATCGAACTTGACATAGGGGCGAATACAATCACATATTCGGCTTCTCAAAGATCTACTGAGACGACACGGCCATGCTTCATCGTACATTGTTCCCCCGGACAGCCTTGACAGTTTCCAGCTTGATTGGAGGACGACTCTGGCGGCTTAGCTCCAGTATGACACCGGAGGTGGCGGAGTCAGTCTTACCACTAGTGGATTCGCCGTTCTCGCATATCCCTCGCCCATCTTTTCGATGAGGGGCTGAATATGTCGGATGGCAAGGAGACGTCATGTAGATCTACGCTGCATCTTGTGGTTGGAATGGCCTGGCTTGTCAAACGTTATCCGTAGACATTACCGAGCGTGGCTCAAGGCCCAAGATGCAAGCGGGCAAAGAAAGTGTAGCTTACCTCCTAGCTCATTGGTCCTGGTTCCTTGTAGTGTATTTTTGATTGTTCGATATCTTAAGATCTACTACAACTACAAACGCACGTTGACCTTGTTCAGACCCCCAACGCCTTCATTCTTAGCGCTCAGGATACTGCCCATGTAAAGTATCACAAGGTCCTGTACTGACACCCAGACCTTACGCACCTTAGTTCTAGCGTATGCTTGGGTTTACTATGATTTTACGACCCCCACAACTAATCTATGAGAGGAAGATCTTCCTTTGGCATATTTCAAACGTCAGCGTAGGCTATCATCACTGTGAAAGTTTGACTGACCATAAAATGGATCCATTATTACCATTAGAATACTCTTCGATTGATCAGCCATAGCTACCCCGCTTCATGTCACCGGATCTTCACGTTATCAGTTGGGCCAAGATAGGTATATAAGCACTAAAAATTAAACCCATTTACCCTATCATGCCATTCTCTCCTGTATCTCGTGTACACAGAGATTCTATTGTTGACTCAATAATATTGCAACTTGGGCTGGATGAGTACATATGCAGGTCATGATCAACCAGATCCCACCTCTAACGTAGTTCCAAGCCCCCCAAGACCGATTCACAGAGCAGTCATATTGCAGCTAGTGGATGACATGCCGAATGGGGAATTCCATCAATGCTGCAAATTATCCCATCGACCGAATCTAACTCTTGCCTTTGGACCGAATGCACTTATGTATTCACATTGGTAGAGTGGTGGAAAGATAGCATTTATATGGCTCTTTTCCCCTGTTGAATGTTTGTCTCAACCCTTCTCATTAGTTTCACGCTTTTCACCCTGTCTATAACAATCCAAACATGGCAGCACCAATAAATGACTTCAACGGTCCCGGTCTATACTTGTTTCAAGTCCAGCATAGCGAAAAATACCTCGACCTCGACGATTCCAAGAAGGCTAACCATACCAAAGTCCACCAATGGTACGGTAACCTATGGTGCCGGGAGTCAAAACTTACTCAGTTAACCTCGTAACAGGGGATCACGAAAGCACCATGAGGACCAGAAATGGATTGTTGCTGCCGCAGGGCACGATGAATACCTCCTCCTTGCGGACAAGGCTGGAACATATCTGACTGCTCCTGGTACTATCATCTTTATATCATGACAACGAAGTAAACTTCCATACTATTTAGCACGGACTTGCCATTTCCACAGAGAAAGATCGAGAGCCAGCTACTGGAAATCTCAAGTCACCAACTGATAAGCATGTCAGGTGGAAGTTTGTCTACGCGGAAGATGGAGCTTACTTGTATGTACAGGATTCTGTGGTTTTGAGACCCTTGAGGAAGGAACAATTATACTTCAAAGCAATATACTGACAGAGACACCTTCACAGCGTCCATAGTGTGGCTCATCCTAATTCGGTTCTTGATGTCAAAGGGATTAGCCACGAAGATGGTGCTCCTGTGCTGGTTTTCCCACTGAACAAACAGAAAAACCAACAGTGGAAGTTGGTTGCT